CATTACCAACCCCCCCAGTCTGTGCTCGTGCGCTGTCATCTCTGGTGCGTAAAAACCCGAACCCGTGACGTCGACGTAACGCCAGCCAGACTCCTCATCCAGGCCGAGGCGCGTCACAGTTCACTTCAATCTTACGCATGACCAGAACCGACAATAAATCAGCTTAATACAAATTGGTGATAAAGAGACGAGGACGACAGAAATCACGCCAGTCTTTGGAAATAACGCGGTGACGTCCAGTAATACGTTTCAAATCTTAATAGACTATTCCATGCACAGCCAATAATGTGATAATGTCGTAGTTTAATACAAAAGAAGGGGCACGTTTTGCAATAAGGCCGTGCGTAAAGTTGAAAACGTTCACATTATATTAAACAATCAGGTCTTGGCTAAAATTAAAAGAAAGTGAAATTAAAAATGTTAAAAAGAAAGAATATTAACAGTGTGTTTAATGTATTTTTATCCCATGCCCTATTGCGTTTTTGTTTCCGTGCGTAAAAGTGTCGTGCCAAATGGTTCCACAGCCAACGTGCCCACATTTTAAATACGGGTTTGGAAGTTTTTCTGTCAAATCTGGTGATAAATCAAGGCATCTTTTGAGCTAAACAAAAACATAAAAACATTAAGAGTTACTGATTTGGGATTGGAGCATTTAAAGACATCAAATCAGCTCGTCACGTTACATTCCCCGTGCGTAAAAGTCCTCAAATGACGTAAAAACCACATTTCCAGGCGACGTTTACGCGACACATCTTTCTCTTCCTCTCCTCCTCTCTCTTTTCTTGTCTTAGAAAAAAAAAAAAAAAAAAAAAACTCTTTGCATCGCCCCATTCCACCTCCACCTCCACCACTTCCACCTCCACCACCGCGCGTCTCCTCTCCTCCTCCTTCCCCCGTGCACAGGTCATTAGCGCGGGGAGATGAACGAGAGGCGCTGTCGATAGCCTATTACACCTGGAATAATGGGAAAAACACTTACCAAACTCCTGACATCACCGCCAAATGAAGTGGGACCGGAGACTACGACATGGGTTTTGTCAACTCCGAATTAATTATAAATATGCGCGTGTGAAATAGGCTACGACATAAAAAAAATATATATATGTACTGCCAAGATACGAACTGTAATACTCGATATTTGCTTTGTGATTTCTCAAGTTGGCCTGTACTAGTACTTCAGTCTAGCATCTCACGCTCTCTGTTCCACCTTGTGATGTCATGAAGTGATAGTTTTCAGCTCAGTTCAGTGGAGTTTGGCGATTCCAAGGCTCAAATCGTCCAAATGATTCTGATGAAACTGCGTGGAGTTTTACATTTCTGTCAAGGTTGTGTACAGTGCAGCCAATTTAAACCTAAAAAAATATGAAATCCTTGCATGTTTGAGTCGGTTTTGGAGAGTTTTTAACAATATTTTACAAAACAAAATTAGAAAAAATGTACAAAAACATGAAATGGATAATAAAGCCACGTGTTGTTTTTTTTTTTTTAGTAGTTTCTGCCTCATTTTGGCTTTTGGACAAACTTTATTGATCCACAAGGGGAATTATTGGACACAGTAGCTCACACATCACTAAATACTCAATATATTATAATAATAAAGATCAAAAATATAAATAATAAGCATAGGACAGTGCTTAAAATTGCGTTTTTATTACATCAAATAATCCATAAATTCAGGATTTTTAGTAACTTTTTTTTAGGCTTTTTATTTTTACTTAACTTAACTTATACTAGGCTACCATATAACTTGGAGAATAGACATGATATAAATAATGGAACTAAATTAAGGTATTTAAACATAACATAAATGTTTTTATGTTATGTTATTTTATCTCAGCTAAGAATAGTTTTAACCACGTCAGTAACAGAAAGCTGGAACAAAAGTCTCCTAAAAAATACATAAACATTAAATCAATAAAAATAAATGTTTTTTCTGTTATTTCTGTCGTAATATTACCTCAAAATAACCCGTGCTTCTCGTTATATTAAAATGTTAACCATACGTATTATCAATTTCTATTTCCTGCCCACGTTTCAGCTCGTTTCGTCCCTGTGTCAGATGTCAGTGTTTTCTCTTAACCCCCGCGACCTCCCATTATGTCTCTGCTAAAACACCAACCTCTTCCTCAAAAACTAGCGTTACAGAAACGTGCTTCCCAAACAAGAACTACAATTTAAACACCAAAAAAAAAAAAAAAAAAAAAAACAAAACGGTTTCGTCTCGGGGCGCGCGGAGGAGGCTTAATTTGCGCGCAATCCTGTCGGTAAGAAGGGGAGAGGGAGAGAGAGGGCTGGTCTTTGTACGGAGAATGTAGCTTTAAGGGAATTGCCCACTCGACTGTGAAATTACTGCCTATAGTGCTACATATTGTACCAGAAAGCCCAGTCCAAAAAACAGTCGAAAAAAAAAAAAACGAGGAGGCAAAATTATCCCCAAACCTGACCAGAGGCGGGGTGGTGGGTGAGGGGGGTGAACAAGACGGTCTGCCCCCGGGAAACGCGCCCCCGGTTCAGACACGAGGCCGGTTTAATAACGGGGTAATGGTCAGATGTAGGATTATTGCACCTACACAAACATAAAGACGTAAAGAGGAGGGGCACGTGGGGGGAAAAACAGGTAGAACAATGGAATTTGGATATGGAAAAAACGCGTGGATTTTTATGTCTTTCAATTGGCACAACGTTAAACCGTAAAGGATGCCAATTTTTGTCAACCTGAAACAATACAGTGCCTAAAAAAAGTATAATTTATGTTGTAATATCCAAATAATCCAAAATACATCTTAAATTTATATAGTGGCCACATTGGTAACGTCAAAACAAACAAAATACGCACATTTTACGCGCTCTTGTATCAAATTAATTACAGTATAACTCACATATTTAAACAAAACTTGACTAAATTTTGGTCAAAAATTGAAATTTCTGAGATAATAAAAGAAAAAAAAAGATCTGTTGTTTATTATTAAGTGAGGTATGAACCATAAATCAGACTAGAAAGTAAAAAAACGTGTCTGAATATCGATATACGCAAACAGTTCTACCATAAGAATCAAGACTTTACGCAGAAAAGAAAACACATTTACGCATCTTTCTATAAATTATTTTGTTCAAAACGTGACCCATATCCATTCATATTCCATCCGGGCCTGTGGATAAGGCCTATAATCCTGCACACATCCTAAACTCCTCTGAACTCCACTTCTCTCTTTCGTAACTTCCATCTCTTTTTGGGACCGGACTGAAGCGCTCCAATAGTTTGCGAAACTCTACAGCGCCATCTAGAGAAGACCTGGGGTATCTCCCTAAATACATTTCACCTCCAACCTCCAGCTGCCTCCGCTCCCGGGGCTGTGAACCGTCACCGTCACCGTCTGCCTCCATCATTACGCACGGTGTGGACACAAAGATAAGTCATCCAATGCGCTTTTACGCAGAGAGTCTGATTCATAACGATGGTCTTTAGTCAGGCCTACACTTGGATTCTCAAATGGCATAACAATGTACAGTATACAGGCTTATTCCCGAAAGGTTTAAGTCTATAAACTGAATTCTGTCACGCAATCTCTAAACGAAATCCAATATTTTGAAAGAAATGTCTACCTGGAAACGATGGCGCAATAAGACAGTTCCAGTTTTGCCAAAAGGTCCATCAAATGTATTACAATCTTTAAATTCAATACTGTTTTTTCTTAACTTTATTTTCTCTTTACGCACAGAAAAAAGGCCTATGACAACTACAATATGTCTAGGCCTAGAGAATTCTAAGACAGTTCCAGTTTTGGCAAAAGTCCCCAAAATGTATTGCAATCTCCAAATGTAATACAGCTTTTTACAACTTTATTTTCTTTTTATGCGCAGCAAAAGTGTCAGAAATTTTCACAATTTCTTGGTTTAGTTCTTGGATTCTAAGATGGGCCAATAAAGCAGTTCTAGTTTGGTCAAAAAGTTGAAGATGAAGATTAACAGCAATGACCAAATTCAATTCATTTAATTTCACTGTATTTTCTTTTTACGCACGGAAAAATAGGCCAGAAATACGTTTGTTTAACTAAATAGGCCTAATAATAAAGGAATTTCAGATTTGCCAAGTCCTCAAAATGAACTGCAATCACTAAATTCAACGTCACTACAGAAAATATAGGCCAGAAATGTGTTTAAAATAGGCATAGTTAAATTCCAAGATTATATAGCAAGACAAATCCAGACTTATGACCAGAAATATAGTCCACAAAGCTGGTCTAGTCTTTGAAAAACTTCCCGGAGCGATCATTTATTGACGCTTAATATACTCTATTCCCTTCTTTGGCTCTCCCTCCCTTCCTTCCAGCGCGCTTTCAGTTGTCACCGCTAGAGACCACCTCGTTTGGACCCCCGGTATTTGGCGTTGGCATCTACCGCTTTGTCTGACAACTCATCCATAGAAGTGAACGCGGTGTAGAGCAAAAGGGGGCTGTACGGAAGGGGTGAGAGGGGAGAGAGGCGAAAGAGAGCGAGGAAGACAGAAGAGAGGAGAGGAGAAGAAGAGAGGAGGAGGAGGGCTGCAGATTTTAGACCCACAGAACGCGGGCAGCGGGTGGGTTTGTGTCCTCACAGCGAGCCTTTACGCATGCGAGTGTCGGGGAAGCGAGGCCACCGGGAGAGACTGGAGATTCTACGTCGTTTTGGACTTTTTCTGAGATTATTTCGATTGTTTTCGGCCCTGAAATTCACCCAAAACGCGCTTCGAGGTTGAGAGAATACTGTTAGAATGTCGCGCACCTGCTCCACTCCGCGGTTGGACTGCTGCTGCTGCTGCTGCTGCTGAAGGCGACCGAAACCAGGGCAACTTTTTGGGGGCAGAAGTTGTTCGTTCCAAACCGGGGGCAGGAGGTTTGAGCTGCACGCGTCCCTCCACGGTCTCCGCTCACAACGTCACCGTTTTCTTCGCGTTTTTCGTCCCGATCAAGGAAGGCGAAACGGCGGCTTCAGTTGATTATCTGTCCTTCCTTTGCTATCCAATGGATATTCACTGCAAAGCGGACCCGTTCACTGCGATGCACCGTAAGTAGTCCACAGGAGAGAGGGGGACTCTGCCACTGCGGATGCCTGCTAAAAACACAACCCCCAAACACCACCGTGCCTCAATTTGCACAGTTTTTACAAAATATCAACACATTAACCCATAAATTCATCACGCGATATTAAATTTAAAGTTTTATCCCAATTAAAAGTAGCACACTTTTAACATACCTCAATTAAAACACAAAAAATATCAGTAAATTACACAGAAACAGGCCTAAAACGCAAACTAGCTGCTCATAAAAATAATAAATATTACCCTAAACAGGCCTGAATATTGTTTCGTAAATTTAAATGCGTAAAAGCGTAAAAAATAAAATGAAACACACGCAAATATTAACTTGAAAAAAATCACAAGGACGCACAAAGAGGCAATATCTTAAAACGTAGCCAAAGTTCTGTTTTTAGGTGATAGAAAAAAGGTTATATTTGTAATTGTTTTGCTTAAATGTCACGCTAAAGTGAATGTAAACAAAGAACTCCCGTTGGCAGGTCCACGTTGTCCTTTACGCACGCTCTTTCCCGCGCTGTCTCTCCGCGTTTGGGCCTAATCAGTGGACAGGTTACTTACACATGTATTATTTAAGTTACTACTACTACTACTGCTACTACTACTACTACTAAAACTGCTCCTACTACTGCCACGGTTCCCCACTTGTAATTTGGAGAAGGCGCATGAATAATTGACCTACTGTTCCTTTACCAAATACTGCGTAATGTAACGTAATATGCGCAATCAAAGCGTGTTCAATTATTTAGCAACGAGTGCAAAGAAGGGGCCGCAACTTAATATCCACGAACGAGGAAAAGGCGATGCCCAAATGTGAGGTCGAGGCGAGAAAATTAAAGCAGAAATTAGATTAATATTTGGCGAGGTTCAATTTGCATGAAGATGGAGCTACGTGGAAACGAGACCAGGTTTAAACAGTTTGAATAGGAAAAAAAAAGGCCTATAATAATATTCCTGTATCGTATTTACAAGGCAATTATGATTAATGTTTAATAAAAGTAGCCTATTTGATATGAATAAAACACTTTACGTTTCTAAGGAGCTTGGATAGCCTGAGTATTTCATGGTGTTTTAGTTAGATAAGTGATTTGTGAAGTGCTCATTTGCACAAAAGAAGGATTTGCTATTAAATATATGTTAATACGCTTGACATATTTAAATAACACGTCAAAATAACGCGGCGTAAAAACAGGAGATACGAAATAATGAAGAATATTGTCTAATAATTTGCATATTTGCTGATTTGCTGAATTGGTTTGAGGTTTAAACGCACCATTTTGGATTTTAAAACGTGCTCACGCTGTCAAAATATGCAAAATAATCCACAAAAACCGTAATAAATTGGTGGTTATTCTGTAAAATTATCAAAACGCTTGCTCTCTTTTTTGTAACACGAATAGATTATAATGAGCTAAGCCACAGTCCAAGTACTTATCACGATAGAAACGAGGTGCCATCGTTTGAAAGGAAAATCAATAATTCAAATAAACACACGCAATTTGAGTCCTAACTTAGCTCCCAAAATAAAATATAAACGCGTTCTGCTTTATGATAAAACGGATAGGCCATAAAGAGCAGCTACTGTGACCTAAAAGATGTATGTCGAGACAAAAAGGGGGGTGCCATGAATAAAAAAAGGGAAATAAATAATTGCATTTTTCTAGATTAGAGAACTTTGTCTCTGTAGACCATAAAGAGCACTAACACTCTGACCTATTGGCTTTGTGTCGAGACAAAAATGAGCTGCTATGAATAAAAAAACGGAACAAACAATTCACATAAAAGCAATTTCTAGATTAGACTTAGTTCCTGCTTCCCCTACGCCTTTATGTAATGTCGCGGCTCGCTGTGCTGCTCGCGCTGTTGTCTCCTTCGCAGGGCACGGCGGGGTGAACCAGCTCGGGGGCGTCTTCGTGAACGGGAGGCCGCTTCCAGACGTGGTCCGACAGCGCATCGTGGAGCTGGCGCATCAGGGGGTCCGGCCCTGCGACATCTCCCGGCAGCTGCGAGTGAGCCACGGCTGCGTCAGCAAGATCCTGGGCAGGTACGGCCGGTAATGCCAAACACTTACCCTTTGGCACCACGCGTAATTTAAAACTGGCTGCTAGTGGCGTCGTTTTGTGAAGGCTTATTAGCGGTTTTCTTGTTGGAGTGTGGGTTTAAAGATGAGAGTGAGGGTTCATATTTGGGGGAAATACAAAAAGAAAACATACACAACTTTTATTTGTTCACTGCATGGCGATTTGTACCCACTGGCACCGTGCGTAATCTGGTTTGCTGTTAGCGTCATTTTGCATCTTTAAACTGCTTTCTTGTTGTAACTTGTGCATCTAAAGATAAAACAGAGGGTTATTGTTTTTGACAATAAAAGCAAAAAACATGAACATCTTTTATTTGTACACTGTGTGGCGATTTGTGCCCAAAACGAACCCACTGACCCCATGCGTAATCTGGTTTGCTATTTGCGTCATTTTGAATCCTTAAACTGCTTTCTTGTTGTAACATGTGCATCTGAAGATAAAACAGAAGGGTATTATTTTTGGCAATAAAAGTAGAAAACATGAACAAGTTTTATTTTTACTCTGTATGGCGATTTGTGCCCAAAACGTACCCACTGTCCCCATGCGTAATGTGTGTCTTATTAGCTGCGTCATTTTGAATAATTACGCTGCTTTCTTGATGTAAATTGTGCATGTAAACATAAAAAGGAAGGTTTATATTTTGGGTAATTCAAACAGAAAACTTTTATTTGCACACTGCATGGCGATTTGTGCCCAAAACGTACCCACTGGCACCATGCGTAACTCGTGGGTTAATTGCGACGTTTGGGGCTGTTTGCTGAACTTAAGAGGCCTACTTTGTGTAAAACGTGGATGTAATAATAAGAAGGAGGGTTCACATTTTGGGGAATTGCAATAGGAAATACGAATAATGTCTATTTGAGCACTGCATAGCGAGTTGTGCCCAAAACGCACCCCTTGGCACACTGGCACCATGCGTAATTCTATTTTGGCGTTGAATATTCTGGCTTTAATCACTGTTTTCTTTTTTAAATCTGCTAGGTCAGGCTCACTCATGTTAATATAATGTAGAGCTGTAGTTTGGGGGTGTACAAAATTAATTATGAACAAATTTGTACGCTGTTTATGGAGTATAGTGCCCAAAAAGTACCCAATAACTGTCTTATTTTTTGTTTTATTTACAATTTTTACACACCTTAAAGAGCTACAGCTATAAAAGCGGATTTCTTACATAATAAACATATTAAAGCCAATGTAAAAAGAAGAATTTGGTAACTGTGGGTAAAAAAATGTTACGAAAAGTTAAAATTACGCAGCGTTGTTGGCTAAAAGTGCGTCACGCTGTTCCGTAAGTTAAACGCTTTAGTGTAAAACAAATGTATCTGATTTGAAGCTGGGTAATTTTATATTTTGGAGCAGAATGAACAATGATGAGGATAAATACAAGTAAATTAAGCCTATTTAGAACGGTTTTTTTTTTTTTTACTAAACGCCAAACTTCAACTGCTATCCCGTTCACTCAACCGTGCTATTAATTTTAACACAAAAACGCCAATATCCTGGACTTCTGCAGAAAATACGAGGGGAAAAGAGGTCTGAATGGAGCCAAGCGAAGCGGAAAATTAGTTAAAATGGCCAAATGAATTAATTTTATAAGGAGATACCCATAATGCATTCGTGATTAGCATAATAGCACAATTTGCGTAACGTTAGCTTGTTTCCAAATTAAAAAGCGATGCCAACGGTCTTTTCAGCGTAACCCTCCGATTAATTGGGGCTTATCTTGAATTTTAGCGCAAATATTAAGCTAATTATTGTTTTATGTCATTGCTGAACGGAATAATTGTGCAAAACTCAGACGTTTGTGAGGTTTTAGTGCGTAAAAATGGAAGGAAAAGTCAGCTAAACATGCGAGTCACGTGGCGGTGCGCGCATATGGCTAATGTCTTTTGTCATTATGTTTTATTTCTTGCAGATATTACGAAACTGGCAGCATCAAACCGGGCGTGATCGGAGGGTCTAAACCCAAAGTGGCCACGCCGAAAGTTGTGGACAAAATAGCCGATTACAAGCGACAGAACCCGACCATGTTCGCGTGGGAGATCCGGGACAGGCTTCTGGCGGAGGGCATCTGCGATAACGACACGGTGCCGAGCGTCTCATCCATAAACAGGTACGAAAATGAAATTAAAACTCAAAAGGTTGTGTCGTATTGAGATGTCTTGGTGGTAAATGTGTGTGGATTCGGGCGCTCCGGATGTAAACAGACTTAATGAAGTGGGCAGACTGTGCGTAAATTGAAAATCATTTATCACGTAGGGTTTTGTGGAGAGCCACGTGTGTCCCCCCCTGTGCGCGTGGGGAGAGCCATTGTACTCAGGGATGGGTAATAGCACGTTACAAGGCTGTACACAATTGCTTTCCGCTCTCTAATTGTCTTTATTAATTCATTTTTAGCTTTTTGTGATTGACATTTGATTGGCTTCTCAATGAGTCTATTAGTGAGGAATGACTAGATTGACCTGACGTCCCTATTTATCCTGTTTTGACAGTCCCAGTTTTGAGCCCAGTGTCTCCTGTCCCAGCAGATTTATCCAAAACCAGTGATTTGTCCCAGTTTTATACAAAAAATGTCCCAGGTGTCCATATTTTTGACCAATCTGATCCCTGTCAGCAGTAAACAGAGGCATAAACTGTCATTTCCTTTGATAAAATACAAAAAATCTGCTTAAAAATGAGAAATATACAAAGAAAACGTGACTATACTGACTCACATTAGTGCTGAGTGTGTAATAATTTTCCTTAATTACGCACTCGTTTCACAATTTTATTTTTACCAACCAACACAAACCGGGGATGTTCCAGTTTTTTTTTTATTTTGACAGTCCCAGTTTTGAGCCCAGTGTCCCCTGTCCCGGCAGATTTATCCAAAACCACTGATTTGTCCCAGTTTTATACAAAAAATGTCCCAGGTATCTTTATTTTTAACTAATCTGATCCCTGCCAACAGTAAACAGAGACAAACTGTCGTTTCTTTTGGTAAAATACAAAAAAATCTGCTTAAAAATGACAAAAACACAAAGAAAATGTGATTATACTGACTCACATTAGTGCAGAGTGTGTAATAATTTTCCTTAATTGCACATCAGTTTCACAATTTTATTTTTACCAACCACCACAACCCGGGGATGTCCCAGTTTTTTATTATTTTGAAAATCTGGTCACACTAAGCAAGTTACACGGCTATACACAATTGTATTTGCTTCACTAGTTAATTGTAGGCCCATTTTCAAGAGTAGTTTAATCAGTTTTTATTATTTTAGTTTTAGTTTTGAAGAATGACTGGCATTGACTAGAGTGACCAGACGTCTCCATTTTCCCTGTTTTGACAGTCCCAGTTTTGAGCCCTGTGTCTCCTGTCCCAGCAGATTTATCCAAAACCACTGATTTGTCCCAGTTTTATACAAAAAAATATCCCAGGTCTGTCTATTTTTGACCAATCTAATCCCTTCCAACAGTAAAAAGAAGCATAAATTGTCATTTCTTTTGGTAAAATACAAAAAAATCTCCTTAAAAATGATGGAATCCATTAAGGTACTTAAAGTGAGTAACGTAATCTGAATACTTTGGATTACTTGATTTGCTGTAGAGAAGCAAAGACGAGGATATTTTCACATAAGAAAATAAAAAGCCCAGACTTTACTTAACCAAATTAAAAATATTATAAGAGGAGGAGACATGTCCGTATGGCATGATTTAGTCCTGTTAAATCCTGTTTTAGACCTGTCTTAGACCTGGTTTTAGACCTGGTTTAGGCCTGGTTTAACCTGGTTTTAGGCCTGGTTTTAGTCTTGGTTTTAGTCCTGGTTTTAATCCTGGTTTAGACCTGGTTTTAGACCTGGTTTTAGACCTGGTTTAGACCTGGTTTAGTCCTGGTTTAGACCTGGTTTAGTCCTGGTTTAGTCCTGGTTTAGACCTGGTTTTAGACCTCGTTTTAGACCTGGTTTAGTCCTGGTTTAGACCTGGTTTAGACCTGGTTTAGACCTGGTTTTAGACCTGGTTTAGACCTGGTTTTAGACCTGGTTTTAGACCTGGTTTAGTCCTGGTTTTAGACCTGGTTTAGTGTCCGGCAGTGAGTGGAATAACGGATTTAGCCCAACATGTAAAAACAGGAAAATCCCTCTGTGTAATCCATCTATTTCAAGAAAGTAACTGTAATCCAATTACCACTCACTGAAACAGTAACTGTAACTGAATACAGTTACTCATAATTTGTACTCTGATTATGTAACTCCAGTACATGTAATCTGTTACTCCCCAATGCTGCCTATTATCCTGTTTTGACAGTCCCAGTTTTGAGCCTGTGTCCCCTGTCCCAGCAGATTTGTCCAAAACCACTGATTTGTCCCAGTTTTATACAAAAAATGTCCCAGGTGTCTCTATTTTTGACCAATCTGATCCCTGCCAGCAGTAAAAAGAGACATAAACTGTCATTTCTTTTGGTAAAATACAAAAAATCTGCTTAAAAATGACAAAAACAGAAAGAAAATGTGACTATACTGACTCACATTAGTGCCAAGTGTATAACAATTTTTGTTAATTACACACTCATTTCACAATTTTATTATAACCAACACAACCCGGGGATGTCCCAGTTTTTTATTATTTTGAAAATCTGGTCACCCTAAACAAGTCACACGGCTACACCCAATTGTATTTGCTTCACTAGTTAATTGTAGGCCCATTTTCAAGAGTAGTTTAATCAGTTTTTATTCATTCAGTTTTAGTTTTTGATTGGCGTTAGACTGGCTTCTCAATGAGTCTGTTAGTGAATTATTGGTGTTGATGTTTTTTGTATCTTTCCAAAATTGTCATTTACGTCTTTGGCATTTTTGCAGATGGTTGTTTATTATTTATTATTTAAGTTTTGTTTAACTTGTCTCTCAATATTAAAACAAACTGTGGCCCTAACATTTGCCCTAGACTTTTACAAATCATAGCTGGGTGATAAAAAGTTGAGGCTCTCAAACTAAATGCTTCCAAGAGTAGTTTTTATTTTTACTTTCTTCCAAAGACTATATGTTCACTGCATTCCAGATAGGAAGTGTGCATGGAGGTGCCTCTGGATCCATCGACTCTGGCTCCAATTTACTTTACATTGGAAAAAAAAACAACTTCTCTCTGTTAGTTCTACAGTGAGCCGCTCTACATGATCCTGGTGTTTTTATTTAGCCATTTTGTCTGTAAAAATATTCCCTGTTCCTTGCTCCAAATTCTGTCGGTAACTGCTGGCCTCATGAGCTTCATTTGACTGCTTCTACTACTACTACTACTACTTTTCTACTTTTACTGAGTTGAGTGTTCACTTCGTTCAACTGTCAGTGAAAATTAACACACAAATAAGACTTTATATAAAAGACTTAATCTCTGAACTGAAGAATAACTGGTTCAGTACCGACCCAGAGATATGACAGGAAGGGCATCTGGTGTAATCTGACATTTCACGTGAAAAGACAGAACTGAACATTAAAAATACGAGAGACTTTCAGCGTTACAAATATATCAGCGAGACATTGGTATCGACTCTTTTCCATCAAAATTGAGTTTGAAGTGAGTGTAGCAGGCCGTATTTTGGACTGGTTTGGCTCAGTTTCATCAGTTTGGCTCCTCTTGGCCTCTTAGTCTCTTTGGCTCTGTTTTTGACTCCTTCTTTGGCTCCACTGTGGCTCTCTGTCTGTGTGTGGTACGCTGTAGGTGGGAGGCCTGGCTCTCTCTCTGGCTCCTCTGTCTGGGACCTCTGTGCCTTTCTCTTTGGCTCCTCTGTGGCTCTCTGTGGCTCTCTTTGGCTCTCTGTCTCTGTGTGTGGTACACTGTAGGTGGGAGTTCTGGCTATTTGTGGCTCTCTGTGGCTCTGTGTCTGAGTGTGGCACGCTGTAGGTGGGAGTTCTGGCTCTTTGTGGCTCTTTGTGGCTCTGTGTGTGGCATGCTGTAGGTGGGAGTTCTGGCTCTCTGTGGCTCTTTGTGGCTCTTGTCTGTCTGTAGCACGCTGTAGGTGGGAGTTCTGGCTCTGTGTGGCTCTCTGTCTGTGTGTGGCATGCTGTAGGTGGGAGTTCTGGCTCTCTGTGACTCTCTGTGGCTCTCTGTCTGTGTGTGGCACGCTATAGGTGGGAGTTCTGGCTCCTCTGTGGCTCTGTGTCTGTGTGTGGCACTCTGTGGCTCTGTGTGGCTCTGTGTCTGTGTGTGGCACGCTGTAGGTGGGAGTTCTGGCTCTCTGTGGCTCCTCTGTGGCTCTCTGTCTGTGTGTGGCACTCTGTAGGTGGGAGTTCTGGCTCTCTGTGGCTCTCTGTGGCTCTGTGTCTGGCATGCTGTAGGTGGGAGTTCTGGCTCCTCTGTGGCTCTGTGTCTGTGTGTGGCACTCTGTGGCTCTGTGTGGCTCTGTGTCTGTGTGTGGCTCGCTGTAGGTGGGAGTTCTGGCTCTCTGTGGCTCCTCTGTGGCTCTCTGTGGCTCCTCTGTGGCTCTGTGTGGCTCTGTGTCTGTGTGTGGCTCGCTGTAGGTGGGAGTTCTGGCTCTGTGTGGCTCTGTGTGGCTCTGTGTCTGTGTGTGGCTCGCTGTAGGTGGGAGTTCTGGCTCTCTGTGGCTCCTCTGTGGCTCTCTGTGGCTCCTCTGTGACTCTTTGTGCTCTGTGTGGCTCTGTGTCTGTGTGTGGCTCGCTGTAGGTGGGAGTTCTGGCTCTGTGTGGCTCTGTGTCTGTGTGTGGCTCGCTGTAGGTGGGAGTTCTGGCTCTCTGTGGCTCCTGTGTGGCTGTGTGTGGCTCGCTGTAGGTGGGAGTTCTGGCTCTCTGTGGCTCTGTGTGGCTCTGTGTGGCTCTGTGTCTGTGTGTGGCTCGCTGTAGGTGGGAGTTCTGGCTCTCTGTGGCTCTCTGTGGCTCTGTGTCCTGTGTGTGGCTCTCTGTGGCTCTGTGTGGCTCTGTGTCTGTGTGTGGCTCGCTGTAGGTGGGAGTTCTGGCTCCTCTGCTGCTCCCGTCTCTTCGGTCTCTGTGGAGTAATTCAATCTCGGCCCTCAGACTCCCTCAACAATCAGCTGTGTTAGGCTGAACACTGAGCGCTCGTGTCCACATCAAACCGATCAATATTCGGTCACAGCCTCGTCCCCTGGGCCATAAAACAGGCCAA